AAAGTTCTGTAGCTCATATGTACAAAATGAATTGCTCGCGCACATCGAATTACGTTAACAAATAATACAAAGCTTATTGAGCTACGATTGAAAGCGTAGAAAAAAAGATATTGTTATAACTGCAATTTATGGTAATATATTCGTGTGCTTAGCTAAGATACAGGACGGTAAACTGAGCAAAAATTGCGTCTAGCAGTAATAAACTATCACTAAAGATGACCGTAATTTAAAAGATCAAAACATTTGATAAGTGATAAACAACTTGACATGTATTTTTGTAATTGTAACGTGCAACATTTAAATACACTGGTCAACAAAATTATCGCATAAGTAAATTTATATCAAAATTTTGCATAACTTTAGTCTCTCATCATAACTCTTCGAAAAATGATCATATCGTAAAAACTGATCGACCACTTTTCGTAGAATTATGATTGTCTAAAAAAAAGTTATACGATAATTTTGTTGACCAGTATACATTGATTTAGCACTAATACCCAGCGTGGCACGTTAGCTCTTCTATTATACATATTAGAATCTTAATTCTTGTGAACCTTTATCTATTAAATCTAACTTATCTAAATTAAATAACATTTATACATGTAATTTTATAAATTATTTAATGTACTCTCAGATTATATTATTTAATATAAAATCCAGTTTCTAATATTTTTATTACCAATTATTGACAGTATTTCTTGTACTATCTATAAAATTTCAATACAAATTATTATATTGTTTTTATTTAGAGAGCTGCTTCTAACATAAACAAACTTATATCTGAAATTATGATTTATAAATGAATATTATATTGCTTTAATTGCAAATATTTGTCTCAATTTATGCTTATCATTTTTCAGTAATAACTTTAACCATATGTTACAATTTTATTATTTAATTACATATTACTTAATAACATTACTTAGTAATTTACTTATTACTCAATAACATAAAAGTATATTTAATAATTAATCTATCAAACTGTATACAAATTTTTAATTCTTTGTCATGCGAATAATATATGAATAATCAACTTGATACTCTTATGTGAGACAGTATATTATAAATAAGTAAATTTACATATTCTTATGTAAATCTAATATTTTAAAATATAAAAAATATAATGTAATTAAAACATGAAAACTAATATAATTTCTCTTTTTAAAGTAAAAAGTTATTTACATTAGACAATATTAATATTAAAATTTTTATGTGGGTAAATATACCGATGAAGGGAGGCTGCTCCAATGACCTTGCCCTTTATATATGTTGCCCCTTATATATGCCCTTTATATATAAAACCACCTGAAGGTCATTTGGGGTCATGACCTTGACAACATATATAAAGGTCAAGGTCATTGGAGCAGCCTCCTTTCATCGATATATTTACCTTTATGTGTAATTGCTCTTTTATAACTTAGTAAATCAATACTCACTTGTAACAATGCCGGACCCATGACAGGAATCAGAAAACCTTGATATAAAAATTCAAGTAATTGTTTTTGTACCATTGGATGTGCTACCTGTGCAACTGCATTGCAAAATTCTAGAGAATTCATAAGTTGTGTAAGTGCAGGTAAGTCATTTACATCATCTGGTGTCAATTGATGCCAATCATCTGTTTCAATGTCGAGTTTCCTTGGAAGTAAAGAATAAAGGCCACTTAATCCTGTAGCTAGTACCTAAGTGAATATAGACAATATTGTTTATATTACTTTTGTGTACAGTTTTGCAAGCATGTTTTATTCAAAAGCAATAATTACATTACTTACAGGACATATATTGGAATGGTCAGCAATATATAATCCAACTTCGTCATTTTTTTTTGAAAGTGACATACACAATAACATTGCATCACGTGCTTGCTGACCGACATCACCTTCTCGATGAATATGAGGTATTAATAGATTAAATATAATGAATCTGAAATTGTTAATTATTTATATAAAAATTATATACTCATATGCACTATTTATAAAAAAATAAGTTGTTACTTATTCTTTCCAGGTGCAGTTGGTTGAAAAAACAAGTCAAGTAATGCCATGTTTTGCATTAAGGCAACGCAAAGCTGATTCAACAATACTACTAATTTTTTTTCTACTTCTAATGGCATAACATCATTTGCACATTCTTCTAACAATCGTAGAAGTGGCCTCATAACTGGCTCATGTGCAAGAAGAATACCGCTATGTGAAACTAATAATTCATATAGTTTTATTTGTTCCAATCTTACAGCATTATTAAATCTGTAAACAAAATTTCATGTGTATAGGTAATGTATAATACAGTAACTTACATATAGAAATAGATAGCAAAATAGATATACATATAAATATAAATTTATAAATTCTTATTCCTTTCTAATGAGAAAATTATATCCAAGCTTGTTTAAAAAATAAAATCTTTGGACAATATTAAATAAGAAAGAATAGGTACTATTTCTAAAGAGATTACTTTAACTGAAAAATATCGTAATAAATGTTATATTATAAAATATAAAAAATTTGTAAGATCCAAAAATTTAGACTAAAAGTCTTGATGCGATATTAAATGTTGATTACTTAATTAAGTGATGATTTCTCAAACACAATTCTAATATCTAATATATATTAAAGTAAAAAAAAAAAACTCGCTTTATATCTTATTGTTAGTTGTAAAAGAATATAATAGTGTTATTCATTAACATTTACAGATATGCAATATGAATTCACAGATCTATTGGACATGATAGTTTTTACCGGGAGCGTCCCGTTTGACCACGTCCCGATTGACCATGGCCACTCACAGTGGCCAGTGCCTAGAGATTTTCCACTGTTCAAGTGCTGTGAGTAGTTGGTGGTCAATCGAGACGTGGTCAATTGATTATCACCCGTTTTTACCAATCTACATTTTATTATATAAATTAAATCTATATATATTTACGATCCTGAAAACTAATGCAATTCTGTCTTAACTGTTTGAGTGCTTAAAATAATCGTGAAAATCTATGCAGAAAATGTCAAGCAGCACGTTTTTGTTGAAAACCATGACAAGTATCGGTAATAAATAAAATTTACTGAGACAGTAATAAATAAAAATAGAATTTATTAGAGGTGTACTTCTTTAATCTACTTTTAATAAATTTAAAAAATATCTTAATTGCAAGGTCTAATCAAGTTCTAAGAATTGTGACAGATGTCGACAGATTGTGATGTTTGTCGGCATTTTTTTATACGAAAAATAAGCAACATTGTGCATGGTACTCAAATGGTTAATATAAATCTTTTTACAATTTGAAAAATTTTTTGCATTTACTATGTAGCTTGTTCTACTTGTAAAACTCTACCATGACAGATGATCCGCAAATTATGAAATACAAATATTCCTATATATAAATTAAATTTCTTTTGGATTTTTTGTTTTGAATGTTATTTACCAATCTAAAAAATCTTCTAATACGCAATTTGATTAGAATTTTAAAATATTTTATTCTTTGCATCTGTCATATCTGATTCGCCATTTTTAATTTTTATTTTGATTTTATTTTTATACGTAGTATTTCAAAAATATTTGAAAAACTAAACAAGATATAACATTCCTTTTTTATAACACGTCGGACATGAAAGATACATTTATTACAAAATACAAATAAATATAAGTAGAGGTATATGGAATATGTATCTTTACCATATTTATTTGTATGTATATAGAATAATATATACATTATAACAGTAAAGATATGCAATATTATGAGATATTGTGTATATGTATATGTTATAAGAGTAGAGATGTACCTTCCTGTATGTATACTCCAATCGTACAGCTTAACAAGCAAATTTTCACTTAACAAATATTCTAAACATGGAGAATGCGTTGCAGTGTTACCCTGTTGATAATGATTATGCAAATTTGAATCCCGTAGCTCTAATATCAGTAACGTCACCATTTGGTCGATATGATTAACAACTCCAAGTACGTCATCTTGACTAGGTATTCCTTTAGGAGGCTGAAAAATATACAAATTAATAATTTACTAAGAAGAATAGAGTTAGAAGGTTTAATAGCAACTTTCAAACTGATTTTTATATTGATATTTATTGCTTTTTTTAATTATTTGCATCTTGTAATAAATCTTTTAAATTACTAATAATAGGATTATATTTTCAAGTGTATAAAATATAGCCTTAGAATATTATAAGATCCACATAAGTTGTTATTTATTTCTTAATGTTGTCCTATGAATGAAAAAAATTCTTAAATATTTTCAAAATGTCAAAATGTTTTGATGAATCCTTTATTAGATTTAATTGAATTTTAAATCTAAGATAATGTACACAGAATGTAAATATTAGTTTGCAAAATATAATTTATTTTAAATATTGTTTAAAAAATGCCATATGTGATCTGAAGTGGATTAGTGCTTAATAATAATTGTATAAATCAATTTACAATTTCCAATTCAGTTAAACAATGCCAAATATTTGTCAGTCCCGATACACAGCCCCAAACTAAATCTGGACTACATATCATAAATTGAATTGACAAGCAATTTAATAATTTTGGTGTCAATGAGCATCTTATTAAATTCTGTAAAATAACTTATTGTGAAAAATCCTGGCTGTCAATCCAGTGACTAAAGTAATATTTTTCGCAATAAGTTTTCTACAGATTTTAATAAGATGCTCATTGATATCAAATTTACTAAATTGTTTCTCAATTTAATTTGTGATATTAATAATAATCTGGATTTAGTTTGGAACTGTGTTTTAAGACTGACAAGTATTTGGCATGTTTATTGGAAATTGTAAAAATTCATACAATTATTATGAAGCACTAAGATCTTATGGCATATGGCATTTCTAAAAATTTATCTGTAGTTCGTCAGTGTCTGCTAGCCGAATTATTTCTCATTATTCGCTCGATCGCCAGACCTGTTAGAGATCTCCAATAAAACCTTCTTAGTTTTACCGCTTTTTACGAAAAGGCATTTAAATATCAAGCTCTAATATCGTTATACTTTCTTTTCAGTGCTTACAATTTGCAATTATTATTTAGGCTTTGGATTTACGTGATTTGATGCGTACAGTATTACGATGTACAGATAATTGTTTGCCGCACTAAGTCTGTGCAATTCAATAAAATCGGTTTTATAATTCCACACGTCGTTATTTTCCTATCTATTCACCTATGGCCTAACTGTCTCCTGTATCGGTCTCTCTGTTTTTGTCTGACAATGAGCTTATGTTGTCCTTTTTTTGTGCGATCTAACAGCTGATCGGTTCCGCGAATTCGTCTGCCTGAATACGTTTGACTGCTTTCTTATATACTCGAGTTTACACACAAATAAAATTTTATAATTAAAAGAATGTTTTACACAGGTTAAATTTTATAATTAGCTAGGATAGAGACAATGCAATTGCCACATGCATATACATGTTTACTTTTTAAATAAAAGTTTAGACAATTTTTTGCTTTATCAAGCAGAATTCCATTTACATTTTTTAATTTTCTAGAAAAACAATTTTGATGTAACTTGCATTTTTCATATATTTTGAATAAATAATGAATGATATTGCAAACTTTACATTCTAGCAAAAAATTTATCAGAACATATTAAACTATATGCTAGAGCTATGTACTAAATGATACAAAATATACTAAATAAACTAATTAACAAAATGTACTAAAAGAAACTAACATTTATTTACAGAAGAACAGATAGCAAAAATATTATATAGCTAGCACTAATATTTTATAATTTTATGCATATGGTTATAATGAAAATAAAAGCATTAACGCATTTCCAAAAAGTATTTTGTATCGTGACATCGAATAATGCAAAATATTAAAATGCCAAATTTTAACAGTAATTAATTTTTATAAAAAGTGATTCTACTATAAGTTTTATAAAAAATAGCTTATTTGTAAAGTTATCTCATGTACTTTTATATTTAAATTGTTTTATTTATTACTTTTATATTATTTTCCTATCTTTATTAAGGATGTTTAATATGTACAATAGTAGCAAAAAGTTAAAGGACTTTGATTAAATTCTATATAATTTTTAAAATAATAGGAATTTAATAAAAATTTTACAGATTGTTCTTATATATGTTTGAAGACTTATAACAAAAGCCGGAGTCGATTCATTGAAGCAATCCAAAGTTATAAGGATTTTAATTTGGATTTTTAGGTTTGATTTAGCCATAGAATTCGAAAATTCTCAGGAAAAAAGCAACAGAAGCATTTCTGCGCTCTAGTTCTGAATAAATGATAACATTCTGCACAATCCTTATTACTCAAACTATATGAGAAGAGCATATTCGTCAAAATCAAAGTCCTTTAACTTTTTGTTACTATCGTACGTATTAAACATCCTTAACAAATTATTATCTTTAATGTTTTAAGTTTTTCTTTTAGTCAATGTCATAGACCTAGTCTAGCCTATTCTATTCTATTTATTAAATGACATTAACATTTTTATAGGTTATGTCTAGATTAGTCACACATATTTTATATTTAATCAATAAATGTTAGTCGCGTAATATTTTTTTATAAAGCTTTAAAAATGATTTTAAAAAGGAATATCTTTCAGATGCACATATTATCCTGGAGAGAAATATAAATTTCAAAATAATAAAGAGTTCTCTAAAATATTTATTCTTACTAAAGAATGTAGAATAATTTCATAAATCTGTTGTGAATGTTTGCAAAAGCTATCATAACATGCAGACGGATCAGCATCTTTTGGTGGCGAGTCTCTGGATCGTTGTTTGCTGAAACTTGTTCGCCGTGGGCTATTTCGTATCCAACTCATTGTTTTTTCACAGTATATTTTACACAATATAGTCAACGTAATTATCACTTCCGTAATCTCACAATTTTCGTCTTGGGCAAAGTGTACTGAGATGTGATTGAGTCTATTGTCAAGTCAGTCAAGTGTCCCTTTTAATATGTTAATCGCCTATACATTAAAACAGCGCAATAAGAATGATATGATAACGAGTTACATATTCATTAAACAATCCATGACTCATTGTACTACATACAGATACATCACTGTATGTACCACATACATGTGTCGAATAACAGAACTAGCCAATATAGCCGAGTTTACATCGTCAAACGCATGATGTAAGGGTGCATTCCCACTGAGCGCGTCACGCGTCGCGTTATCCGAATTGACCAATCAAAACATCTCATTTTATACCCTCGTGAAGTTAGCCCGCAAGATGAAAATTTCTGAACGAGTAAATAATGCTCAAAATAATGCTCCCAATTTACTCCGTCCATATTGATAAATATAAAAAATTGCTCCCTTTTAGTTTTTTTTTTAAATCCAAAAAACGATTTTTTACGAAAAACGTCCATAACTTTTGATCTAATTGATATTTTTTAACAAATGAGGACTCGACTCACTCAGATCTCGGCAGTCAATTTAGTATTTGTCACGCTGTCATTTTAACGGGCGGAAAAGAACTTAGAATCTGTGCGCGGTTGAAAATCGAGTGCCTAAGATCGCTCCTGGAGAGAAAGAGAAGCCCCGCGCACCC